GGCTCAGTCACCACATGGATTCACCACAGCCCCCCGGGGCCCCTGCTGGCTCCCCCAGCTCACACTGCTCTCTCAGCCCTGACTGTCCTCTGGGCAGCTCCCACCAGACACCCTGCTATTCACAAGGGCTGCAAGCACCAAACCGGTGCTGGTCACACCTCTTCGCTGTCCATGCCCTCTCAGGTCTCCATGTGACCGCACACCTGCACGCTCTGCAGTCTTCCCCGGTTCCTTCCCTTGATGCACCCTAGACCTGGAATTGCCTGGGAAGGCTGATGGCCAGTGGCTTCTTGGCACGGGAGCTAGGAAGCCAGCTCCCCAGCCCCCACATGGGCATGCTCCCTGCAGAACCAGGCTGAGGCTGAGACTGTGCCCTGGGCGCCCCCTCTCCTCGCTGCAAGTCCCCACTCCTATCAATCCCCCCGAAGGGCACTGCCTGAAGTGTCTCTCCATGGTCTGGAGAAGCCCCCTTTTAGAGAGATTCTCAGCAGGTAGAACCTCACCAGGGTACATTCCCTTCCCCATCCTCAGCCCTCCCTCTCCCAGTTAATCTTCCCAGCCAGAGTCAAAAGCTCACTCATATTTTCATTTTCTCTCTTCTTCCATGCTGTCCCTTTCCAGTTAAATGTCAAGTGCAATATCTCCCCCTCTCACACCATATATCTCACATCTATCTCTTCCTCACCTTCCTCCTACAACCCACTTTAGCTACCACATCACCCACCAGACCGAAGACTGTTTCCTCTGCTTCCATTTTCTTCCCCTCTTGAACTTTTGAAAACTAGCAACTCTAAGAATAATTGTGTTGCTAAAACCAAACCAAATCATCGCAATGGTTCCCCATTGGCTTCAGGCTAAATCTCAGACTCCTTTGTCAGAACACCAGAAACTCATCCACCCCCCACCCTTTGATTTCTGGGGGTCTGATGTTCCAGGCTCAGACCCCCCTGGAGTATCCCCTGCCTGAGAGGTCCCCCCTACTATTTGTTCCCCTGTTCTGACCCAGCCACCACTGCATACATAAATCAAATGCAGCGAGGGAGCCTCTCCTTGCAGAGTACCCCCATTAACAAGTTAGAGATACAAACCAACCCCCATCCACTTAGCTGGACACTCAGATGACTTGCCTACAGACTTCCCACCCTCTTCCTTGAGCATCAGAGCTCTTTAAAGCCATGGTTATACAGTGCTGTTATATCATGTACGTTTATCTGAGAAAAATCCAACTAAAAAGGGAGGAAGTTTTACCACTTAAAACTGTGCCAGTTACACCACTCAACAGGCAGATGTGTCCCAGAATCCAAGTGTGAAGGGAGGCATGGAGATCCTGTTCCTGCGGTCTCAGTTCACATGCACGCCCCTCTAGGTTCAAGCATCTCACCTCCCTGGGTGTGTGATTGTAGTCACTCCCCGCAAGCCGAACCAACCTAATTCCCCGCGGACGAAAGAATGGCTCCCTGTTGGAAACCACCATCTGATCTAGTTTTGAAGCAAAACACACCTGGGAAAGGTAAAGAGATGATTCCGTAACACACTCATGGCCGCTCAAGAGATTTTCAAGGGTAGTTTGATCAAGTGCATTTTCCACCTTGCAGGCATTTCAGAAACCCTCTGCATTATCGGACCCTCTCTGTGGCCCACCCCGAGCCCACCCAGTGTCAACAGAACCCACAAATGTCCTGGTTCCCTGGACTGCAGCAGGCATCACGGAAGGTCCTGGACCCAAATGGCTTCAGCCCATGAGTGATGAAATCAACCAATGACACCCTCAATCAGCTCTATGTGTAATGATGACATTCAACGATGAAAAATGGAACAACACAATGCATTTCTGCACTTATGTCTACAACTGCAAAACGATTTAGGATTAAATCCACACTACTAACCATCAGAAGTGACATTTTAATAAGTGACTTCTCTTAGCCATCAAGTTTTGAGATCTTTAGCAAATTGTTCTAAAGAAAATGGCCCAGAAAAAAAAAAAATGAAGGACAACTTAACTGTACTTAGAATTCAGAGTGAATGCAACTCTATAGTCTTAAAAATCACTAAATGTTTCAAGGAAAGTATTAAGAGAAGGCAGTACAAACTCTCTTGCTACTTATTCACTAAGTATTTCCTATTGGGCCATTCATCTTGGAGCCAGTTTTCAAAGTAACTGACTTTGACAAAATGCAACACACTCAAAGAGTGAGAACAGTTGACAGCTGGATGTGTGGTTTGCCCTGCCATCTTAAAAGGAAATAGCAGTTATCAGAATTTTCAAAAGAAAACATCAGGATTTTTTTCTTTTTTTTTTTTTTTTTGGTGAACAGAAATTTGTCAAAATGGAAAAGAGTTCTGTAGAATATTATTGCACTGAGTGTTGGGATGACTCAGTAATCATCCAGCTAGACTGTCAATGATGCTTTTAAAGGATCCAACTCCACCAAAAACACTTCATGGTGACAATCTGTGCATCACTTTTCTGTTTGCCTCCAAAGAAATCAGCTCCTTTTTTCCAGAAACATTTCCTTGGCTGCCCCTCCGGCCAAAGGGTGAGTGTTCCGGTTTCCAAACAACTGACCCATAGGGCCTGGAAGCCATGCTCTGTGTACGGCAGACCGTGCCCTGCACCTGTGCCTACCTTCCAAGTGAAGTTCTAAGCTCAAACCGTCACAGAGTACCAGCTCGGTGGGGTTTGTACTTGCTGACTGCAAGCCTGTCTGGTTCAGTCCTTCTCCTTAGTCTTCCTGCCTTCCCCCAAAGCCAGTTACTTACTAAAAGCCTTATGTTCACCTAGTGATGGCCTCAAGGTTATTCTCCAGTTTCAATGATCCCATTAGCTTCCTGCTAATGAACTTCTTTGGGACCAATCCCAATATTGCTGAAAATGGAGAGAGTTTAGTTACCTCTCTTTGAATGTGGTCTACTTAGAAAATATTAACCAGGCATTTACTTCCTTTTTGAAGCTCTATCATTTCATTTAAGAGCAGCTACAGCTGTCAGAACTTTGGCAGACTTTGTGAAAAATGTCATTTTAACTATCCATATTAAAAATTAATCACATAAGATTTCCTCTGCTCCATTTCTACTACTTAAACTCCCAGCTGATTCAGAAAATGTTCTGTGGGTTGTTTATTTTAAATAGTGTCGGATCTCTTCCGCATGATGCAAATATATAGTTAGTGTAGTTGCTAGGAGAGAAAATGATCTGTACTTGAAAATTATACTGGATATTACTCTGCTTCCTACCACGACCACTTCTCCCACCCAGTACTATGGGGAATGTACAATCTCTTGGCCATTTTTGCCAAGGTAATAGCAAATTACCACTCTTACGACATATTTGGTAAATTATCATTCCACTTTAAATACCTAGTAAACTACCAAGTTTTTACAACTTCTAAAAAAAATCTGGGTCAAGGGACCATTTAAAGACTCAGGACAAAGTTATCCATTCTCTCTCTCATTCTCTCTCCACCAAAAACACTTCATGGTGACAATCTGTGCATCACTTTTCTCTCTCATTCTCTCTCTCTCTCTCTCTCTCTCTCTCTCTCTCTCTCTCTCTCTC